TTAAACAAATCAAGATATGCGTTTTAAACACCAAGGGCTGCTGAAACTGTATACTGTGACTGTGCTTTACAAGCACTATAGCAGCAAACATTTCGCCAAGTTAATAAATAGTATCAAACATGATGGCGGCAGTGGCAGGGTAGATTTTTGATGAGGTGTGAGAGAAGTTTGGCTTTCTGATGACAATAAATGTAAGCGATGAGGTGGCAACAGAAAAAACAAAAACTGTGTAAATACACGTACAATGTCATAAAGGGTTTGTTCAACCAAAAATGAAAATTCTGTCATCAATTACTCACCCTCATATAATTTCAAACCCATAAGACCTTTGCTCATCTTCAGAACACAAATGAGGATATTTTTTATGAAATTCGAGAGCTTTCTGACCCTCCATTGGCAGCAACGCAACTAAAACATTCAAGGTCCAGAACGGTAGAAAGACATCATTAAAGTAATCCATGTGACTCCTGTGGTTTAACCTCAATTTTATGAAGCAATTCATATGCTTTGTTTGTGCAAAAAACACATTTTACCGCTTTATTTTCTAAAAATATTGATCTGCCACACACGCTCATAAGAGCATCATGACGCATGTATGTTGTGTCCACAAAATTGAGGTTAACCCACAGGAGTCACATGGATTACTTTAATGATGTCTTTCCTACCGTTCTGGACCTTGAATGCTTTAGTTGCGTTGCTATGGGGGTAGAATTGTTGCTTTATTCCAAATAAATAGATTATGATCCACAAATAAATGTAAAGAGATTAACAAAAATTAAACATATTGACGAATAAATAGAATGAGATCCACAAGTAAATTTTAGCGTTTCACAAACATGAAATAAATTCACAAATAAATTAAATGCAATTTGCAAATAAAAAACATATTCACAAATGTCTTTTTAAGTCACACAAAATCGTTTCCTCGCTCCTACATCTTCCACCCTATGACCCGGACACCGATCCAACTCAGCTGTCTAATGATCTAATGATAGAAATGTAGGGGAAAAGTCGTTGAGATGTTGGCTTATCTTAAGATATGGTTTATATTATTTATTTAGTACATAAATGCAAAACTTACCCTTCATCAAGTCTCAGACTCACAGTCAAATGTTTGCCTATAAAAAGAGAAAAACATATGTAAGGGGGAAAAAAACAACAACTTTAAAGTGGTTCAAATATTGACTTATCTTAAGATATAGTTTATACTCTTTATTTTGTACAGAAATGCAAAACGTACCCCTCATCCAGTCTCAGACTCATAGATAAACAATGCCTGTAAAAAAAAATTTTTTTTAAAAAGACTCACAAGCATGTGCCTGTAAAAAAAATAAAAATTATTCAACTTAAATTTACTTGTAAACAACACACACACAAGCAAAGACATTTCCTACACAACAGCCTCATAACCCTTTAATAACCTGAGTTACCTAAAAAAAAATATTAAGATGGATGGTGATCCTCACTGTAATGTGCTCAGTCATAGCCTACAAAGGGAGATAAATGGGAAATTGTTGGTTACTTGCTAATTACAGTTAAGCCCAAATATGTAAGTTACACAACACTTTTACAGACTTTTTGTTCATGATTAAAATATGACCGATTCATACAACATAATGCATTTGTTTGCATTTATTGTTACCTGTAATCTGTTACCAGAAAGCAATTTGCAATCGTAAAACAAAATTATATATAAAATATATGATGATGGCCAATAAAATAACGAATGGCACAGAAAACGAGCTTGTGAGGAACAGATGTAACAGTGTGTCCAGCTGAATGTATGGTGTCCATAGCAGAGTCGCAAAAATAAAGCCACTGCTCTCCAAAAAGAACATTGCTGCCCATCTGCAGTTTGCTAAAGATCATGTGGACAAGCCAGAGGAATACTGGAGTAATGTTTTGTGGATGGACGAGGCCAAAATAGAACATTTTGGTTTAAATGAGCAGCGTTATATTTGGAGACAGAAAACACTGCATTCCAGCATAAGAACCTTATCCCATCTGTGAAACATGGTGGTGGTAGTATCATGGTTTGGCCTGTTTTGCTGCATTTGGTCCAGCATGGCTTGCCATCATTGATGGAACAATGAATTCTGAATTATACCAGCAAATTCAGAAGGAAAATGTCAGGGCATCTGTCCGAGAACTGAATCTCAAGAGAAAGTGGGTCATGGAGCAAGACAACGACCCCAAGCACACAAGTCGTTCTACCAAAGAATGGTTAAAGAAGAACAAAGTTAATGTTTTGGAATGGCCAAGTCAAATTCTGGACCTTAATCCAATTGAAATTTTGTGGAAGGACCTGAAGCAAGCAGTTCATAGGAGGAAACCCACCAACATCACAGAGTTGAAGTGGTTCTGTACTGAGGAACAGTGGCGGACTGGCCATCTGGAGCACCGGGAGTTTTCCCGGTGGGCCGCTGTACAATGTGGGCCGGCTCTTTGCGTAAATATATATAAAAAATGAATTGTTGTATATCCTTCCATCGGCACAGACGAATGGCGCCGCACGGCCCACTTATTTAATTTTTTTAAATTAATTTAGCGTGCTCAGTGCAGCGGCTCAAAAGCGCTTGTCAATGTCAAAATGTTTGAAATAGCCAATCAAAGCGTAGAAGGCGGGATTTACTGTTAACAGACGCTGCGCTGCGCGCGACTTCAATGCAAGCTGAGGTAAGATGTAAGTAGCTAAACATAACGAGACAATTCAGCAATATTTGCCAACTGTTAAGATAAAAAAAAAAAGTTAAACGACAGACATTAATTTTCAGGAATGCAAACTACTACTGGCCTTTTCAAATGTATTAGATCTGAATGCCATTTACGTGAGATAAGAGTTAATGTATCTCTGTATATGCTTTCTTCCGTGATTTCACTTGTCTAAGAAAATGTACAAAATCTATAAAAATCATTCTCAATCTTACTCTAAAACATTGTAAATCTGAAGACTTTTGCTTTCGAGTGCTGTGCATATGAAAGTGATTTATATTATAGGCCTAATAAAAATATAATTTGCTTTTTAATTCACATGCATTATTTTATATACACTGGTGGTTAAAAGTTTGAAATAATTAAGGCTTTTTATTTATTTATTTACTTGAAAGAAGATTGAATTTATTTGATCAAAATACAGTAACAATAATATTATGAAATATTACACTTAAAATAGTGGTTTTCTATTTAGGATATTTTAAAATGTAATTTATTTCTGTGATCAAACTGAATTTTCTCATTACTGCAGTCTACAGTGTCCCTTCAGTAATAATTTTAATGCTGCTTAATTTGCTGCCTAATTATGATCAGTTATTAATATTTTTGATCAGTTATTAATAGGGCTGGGTTTTGACACAAATTTCACAATTTGATTTGATTCTCATTCACAAGCTTGCGATTAGATTCGATTACCGATTCGATTCGATTCAATATCGATTCTTGTGGATACATATCAGGTACACTACAGTACATGCCAAATTTTCTCAAGGAAGAAAAAATCTCTCAACTAATGCTGTAAAATATACATGAGAGTGACTGTAAGTACGTTTTCATTTAAAGGATTTGCCACTGATGATTCAAATGCGAGTTTTGGGCAGTGTAGAGTAGCACTTGTTGTTTGTAATTTCTCCGATCACAAATGCAGACAGAGTTTTATGTTTACGCGGCGCAATGCAACTCAACGCATAAAAAGACAGTATAAGTCATTGTAATCAGTAATTATGTCCCCACTGGATGCAACAAATGCCTCGTTTGTAATGGGTTTTAATGTTTATGTCTCCTCGCTCCGGCCGGGACACGGCATCAACAGTATGTGAGGGGCGTAACATTTCCGTCACACGCTTGAGGTATTCAGCCAATCACAACGCACTGGATAGCTGGCCAATCACAGCACACCTCGCTTTTTCAGACCGATGAGCTTTGTAAAAATCGACGCGTTTCAAAAAAGCGGGGCATAGAGGAGAAACAATAATGTACAGTATGTGGAAAATAACGTGTTTTTTTTACTTTAAACCGCATAAACACATTTCATTACACCAAATACACAAAATAATGTTCTTTTTAGCAGCATCATATGACCCCTTTAAAGAAAGGTAAAAAAAAAAGATAATGAATGTTATATGGTGCATATATTTAGCAAAATGCTCCTCTCTACAGTTTATTTTTCTGGCTGACTATGGAGTTTATGGTCACCAAATATGCTTTCTGAGGTAAATGTGATGTTACATACATAATTTTATTTACGGCTAAATTATTATTCATTAATTTTACTAATAGTTAGATTGGGCAGGCCTTCACAAAATGGCGTTTAATTACAAATAAAAAATGCCTTGACAAAAGGGCACTTTGGGCATCAAGGGGAAAAGGGGCAGGTTACATGAATTGTTTACAAGCTCTTATATTGACGTCTTTGCGCGGCTGAAACACTGATTGAGCGATTACATGAGACAGGATAAGGATTGTAAAGTTGTACTCTTTTTTAACTTGCCTTCGGATGTTTAGTCATGATTATTTTGTGCTGAAACTGGTATTAATTTGGAGGAGATGATCAGTTCACGTGCACCTCGCGCTGCTGCATCTGGTGAACTGAGGTGCTACAGCGATCTGTCACTCCACATTAAAGAGCGCCAAAACGGCATTTATTGTTTGAATACTGCAATACAACAGACAGAATTTGAAATCTGAGACTTTGTTTCATATTAAAAGTACCAACGCACAATGCTTATTTATTTATTGGATGGGAAGTGCGCTTCAACGTTCCGTCCATTAACTGAAAACAGGCTAGAATAATCGATTCTTGGGATTTAAGAATCGATATCGTTTCGTAAAAATGAGAATCGATTAAAATCGAGATATTGATATTTTTACCCAGCCCTAGTTACTAATAATGGTTTTTATTATTGGTATAATGGTTCTCAGTTAAAAAACAGCATTTATTTGAAATATATGGTAATATCTATAAGTATAAGTATAAATATATTTACTGTCACTTAAATCAATTTAATGCAACCTTGTTGAAGAAAAATATTAATTTATATTTTTTAATCTTACCCAAGACTGAATGGTATCACATTTTCCACAAAAATATGAAGCAGCACAACAGTTTTCAACATTCATAATAATCAGACATGTTTCTTGAGCAGCAAATCAGCATTAGAATGATTACTGAAGGATCATGTGACACTGAAGACTGGAGTAATGATGCTGAAAATTTGATCACAGCAATCAAATATGGCTTACTATAAAGTCGCATTGAAGACAGCTATTTTAAATGATAACATTATATATTTCACACTACTGTTTACTATATTTTTGATCGTCAAAAAAATGTGTACTCTTTTGCACAATTGGAGCTCTATTCCTTAAAATGATAGATGTCAAGCTCCTGAAAAAGGACAAATACTGTATATGACCAATAGAAAGGCACCATAAAAACAGTCCGCATTCTGCACTATTCAAGTCTTCTAGACAATACTAGAGCATTGTGTCATATGGACTGATAATATAGGTATTTAACTTTTGTGATATTAACCTGTCCCTCGTAAAAAATATTTTAAATTATTTACTATTTTCCATATACACCAGGAAAGACAAATTATAATGCAACAAGAATGCCAGTCATTTATGGTGTGGTGCGGTGTGTTACGGACTGGGATTGGTGGGCCGCTCTGTGCCAAAAAGACCAAGTCCGCCCCTGCTGAGGAATGGGCCAACATTCCTACAAGCCGTTGTGCAGGACTGATCAGCAGTTACAAGAAATGTTACTTGCAGTTATTGCTGTAAAAGGTGGTCACACCAGATACTGAAAGCAAAGATTCACATACCTTTGCCACTCACAAACATTTAACATCGGATCATTTTTCTCAATAAATAAATGACAAAGTATTTTTTTTATTCTCTTTGTCTACTTTCAGCATTTGAATATCTGAAATTATATTTTGGGTCATATTTATGCAGAAATATAGAAAATTCTAAAGGGTTCACAAACTTTCAAGCAGCATTGTATCTTCAGAAAGCCCTTATAATAACTACATGTACAGAATGCACAGTATATTACTCAAATCCTAACAACATTAACAATATTGTAAAACATTCACTATTTTACTTTATCTCACCTCAAATCAGGTTTCTCCAGATTCAAAACAAAAGTGTGGGGGGGGGGGGTTTAAAAAAAAAAAAAATTAAAGAAC